CTTTGTCATTTGCGACTCATAACTTTAAGCTCTAGCCCAAAAACTGTCTTTTGAATAACTTTTTTTTTTTTCAAACTACATTTATCTTTACTTATAAGGTATACATAAAGAAAAATATAAAATGTAGTGAAACATGGAAAACATAACTATAGAATCATAACATTTTGCATAAGAAAGATTTTAACTTTGCTTAGCTAAACATACCTAGGTCGTAGAATGAGGTCGACTGATGGCTGCAAGGTGGCATGTAGTGCATTAAATATTTCATTTTTCTCATTTTCAAATTCCCTATTTGTACTTAAAAATAATATTATTTAAAAAAATGACAAGTCTACAGAATCGACTAAATTTGTACTCTGATACCACGTTGTAACGCCCCGACCCACATGGACGGAAATGTCACTCAAACTATTGCACCTTAGCATTAGACTTAGAAATTATATAAAATAATAATTCAATTAGCTACTCCCTTAACGGAAGCATAAACATTTAGTTTTTAAAAAAATTTCCTTAAGAACTATATTTTTCGTAACATGCAGTTTACTATAAAATTATAAAATAAACTCGTTTGCATAGTTATCAATGTCGAAATTTCATAAAATTTTAAGGAAAAGTATGGAACATCTTATAATATAACATATCCAAAATTTGGCTTCCGTCAGTGACATATCCAAAATTTGGCTTCCTTAAAATTTTATGAAATTTTAAGGAAAAGTATGGAACATCTTATAATATAACATATCCAAAATTTGGCTTCCGTCAGTGACATATGACGCGTAAAAATAATTCCCAAAATTCCGCTAACGCTAACTAAACAAAACTATTTTCTTTTTTTCTATCTCGTAGGGTAAGTGTCAAATAAATTTGTTTTTATAGCTATTGACCTCAAAACTACATCAAATTTTAATGTAACATAGTAAACTCCTTATAATATGATATAGTCAAAAAATCAGCCTCCGTTGGCGTCATATGAGGTATTAAAATATTTTTCAAAACCCAGCAACAATCTGATTGAAAGGTAAACCGGTGCAGTTCACTTAAAATGACAAAAAATTCCAAAGACATTAAAACTTCACGATTTTAAATTTATTCAGTATCTAATCCATGAGACTATCAAATCCAATTGGTTTCATCCAGAAATTCCAAGTAATGGTCAAGTTATGAATTTTTGAAGTCAAGGCAGAATCTGGAAAAACGAAAACACTATCTAGTACAGTTTGCTTTATGCGATGTATAAAATTCTACTGACATCGGATTGATATAATTCTAAGTTCATTTAGTAGATAACTTATGAGGCTATCCAATCCAATTGGTCTCGTATAAAAATTCTAAGTAACGAAAGAGTTATAAATTTTTATAGGCGAGGCAGAAACTGAATTTTAAAGAAACAACAAACTTTAAATCGCTAACCTTTTTTTCTTGTAAAGGGTGGTTTGTAAATTTATTTCTATGACACATATCTACGTTCAAACATAATTTATTCATATAGAATGTTCATAGAATAGATCCACACATGCCATTTATAGGAATCTAATTTAAAGAAACGTAAACATTTCATAATCAACTAAAGATATTAAATCACCGGCTTCTCCATGGCATGTTGCATCATTCTCTACCATCATCTACGCCCCAAGGAAATCCATTCAACCGTCGCACGTAGATGGATTTTCGACAAAATCCAATTACTATAGTATTATCATAACACGTAGAGTCGGAGAATGATCATTCAAACTGTTGTAGTGCCGAATCACCATACCCGAAGGTACCATTTCATTCAAACATTCATCGAAAAATCATAATTTGAAACGAAATAAACACTTGCACCTCTACCTACCTTAAATTTTCTTGGATATCAAAGAACAAATGTGTAGAAAGCATTTCTTCTTATCACCCTTGTTATTCCTTTAACTTAAATTGATTTATAATATATTTTTTTGAGAGAAAATAAGATGAAATTCGGATTTAAGGAATGATGTAGTGAAAAAGTGACATTCCACTTCTTGTAACTTTTCTTTTTAATGAAAAATTAAATGGGGGGAGTTGTATTATCATAAAGTTTGTTAAATTGGATATTTAACTAAAAATTTGAAGAGTTTTTAAGCCTAAAAAAAATTCATAAAAAAGTTCTTATAAAAACATGTACATGGTAATTCGAATCTGGGTTGCCTATATAAAATACCATGTAGATGACCATTGCGACAACCCAGTTATTCATTAAATCTTTGTAATCAAATTTACTTAAACTTAATCTCTTAAATTGTTGGCTTTTTAATTAATTTATGGCTTGGGCTTTCAAAATCTTAAATAGTTTGAGCTTCCATAGCTCGTTTCTTGAATGAGTTAGGTTCGTGGTGCTAGATCATCACAACATAATAGCCTAATTTCATTTTATTTCTCGGGCATCTACAAAAGTAATCCCAATTAAGATAGCATAAATATGGTAAAATCGTGATGATGAACAGTTTATTTGACAAACTTCATATACATGTCATAGTGCTTTTATAATTTGAGTTCATATTTATATTCGAGATAACAAAGATAACAGAATCCAAATGCTCATTATTCAATAAATCATTTCAGTTTATCGATGTAAAATTGTAACTGGTAATTTTGTTCGTTTCTGAAATCAAGTTTTCAGATTTGAACAAGATTATTCCAAAAGAGAGAGAGAGAGAGAGAGAGAGAGAGAGAAATAAACTTTTTACATTACCTGCAAGTAAAAGATTAGTGTGAAACAGAGGATGCACAAATGAACAGTAAACCCTCATCCTCTCTTTTAATATAGTAATTTATGGAGATTATGAAGACTCAAACATGAGCATCCGTTATTAAGGAGGCTCAAGCAAATGCCTCCGTTATTATGGAGGCTCATGCTTGAGCCTCCATAATAACGGAGGCTCAATGCTTGAGCCTCCGTAATTACGGAGGCATCAACATGCCAAATTTCATTTTCTTTCTTTCTTTTTCCTTCACTAGTTCTCAATACAATAATTTAATTTCATTTAATCAACTTAATTTTTTTAATAGATATGATTCCCAAAATAAATACATAAAATATACATCATTTTTTTTATATATACAGAGATTATGTAAATCCTTCAAATGAGCAGAAATGTAGATAAATGATAGACATATTAATCACATTTTCAATCGTAACCTTTTGAGTGCAATCAAATAATGTGTGAAACGTGTTAGATCAAATAGTCACTCACGTCAATAGTTCAATAATTTTTTTCTCCTCACTTTTGCTTTTGGGAAGAGTAAGATCAGGCTTTTTCGGTAACATATTGTCCATTTCTACAACCAATGTTAATCTATTCTGCTATTTCTACACCCAATTCTATTTACTCTCTTATTTACCAACCTATTTCATCCACATTTTAATGATTCCCAAATATCTAAAATTAAACAATACAACATCATTCCTTCATTGGAACTCCTTAATTGAAATATAATGTTCATAAGAAATTTGTACACACATTACGCAAATAGATACATTGTTCCACCAAAACAGTTGTTTTATATTCACTTATATAGAAACCACCATATACGTATATTTCATTTTTTTTAATTTTGATACGGATCCATTGCACACTGGCCCATCCACCAGATATTAAATCAACCCAAAAAAAAAAAAAAAAAAAAAAAAACATTAACAACAAAAATTCGAAATGAAATCAATTCACACAAAACATAAGAAAAAAAAATCAATCAAGCTTCGATAAATGAAATTGAGCAGCCGTCCACAAATTTCAATAAAAACAAGAATAAGAACTAAAATTCAGAATAATCAGACCTCAATCAATCTATACAAAATACACAACAAATAATTTGCGTGGTAAAATGGAGAGAATAGACAGTGGTGTTTGAAAATGGAGAAGAAGAAAGAATGATCCACCTAAATTGGGGACAAGTGGGTGCATCACTGTAGCCTGCACTTTTTTTTTTTTGGGGTTTGCAGACGACGTCGTTTTTGCTCGAGAGATAATAAAAAAAATTGCTGTGAAATGGAAGAATCTAGTATTCTTTTTACAGTAGTGAAACATTGCATTTTTTTATATAATAGTGATATAAAGGAAGAGGAAGCATGTGGGCCAAGATGAACCAATAATAACGTGTTGTTGTAACCGATCATAAAACCCAACTTATGCCCAAGTCCGCAAGAAATTGTCATGATCCAGCCCAATTCTATTGACATTGCTAACGTCCAGTAAGATAATGTGGGGCCCTATCTCTCTGTGTATTCGCCAAGCAATATATAGGTGGAAAATTAGTCCTTTGAGTGTGAATCTTACATTCATGTGCAAATCGAAATTAAAAATAAAATTGAAAGCGAGAAGCTTACACGATAACTTGGTAGGACTTATGACATATATTTGAGAGTAAATTTCATTTGTGGGTAGCTATGCTTTCACTCCAGATCAATCATGTAACTTTACTTCAATTTTGTTCTATCGAGTAATGATCCTTTAGTTTGACTTCGATCAGGTAACTTTGTCTAATTCTATCACTTGAATGGATGAAAAATGATGATTGATTTGATATCTGTCATTTATTTCGACAAAGTTTTATTTATTTCATATCAATAACCGACAATTATGCTTGTTTTAATGAACCACATATTTTATCGAATTATATTTTTAGCTGCATTAGAGTCACAATTGTACTGCCGACAATTCATATTCATGCCCCTAGGATGGGTTTTCATGGTACAGCCCCTCACAAGAGGGGGGGCGGGGGAAGGGCTCGCATCTAATAAAGAAATCGCTAGCCTGACTCACAAGGGGAATTGTATATCGAACTGTTCGTGAAGCACTACCCCCGTAGATACCTATAAAGCGCGCATTATTTGGAAAATTCGTCTTTTCGTAGAAGTCGTGGTACACGCATTAAAATCACAAGGCATTTAAAATCATTTTTTTAAGTGGGAAATGAAAGCGCATAAGGGCGTAGAATATTCTAGACCCTTCAGTTTTTTCTCAAAATCCCCGAAGAACATCTTACTACCAATCAACGGTCAAAATCTTTGCCCATCCTCCCATCTCGATCCAATCTCCATCGTCGACGCACTCATGCATCGACCTACACACCCTACCACTTCTTCCTCTCTCCAGTTCTCTTAGCAGCCTCCTTTCTCTTTGTGAAATTGACGAAATTTAGGAGAGCTGCAATTCTTCATCCATATAACAATACAGTAAATCAAGATGTTTGGGAGGGCACCAAAGAAGAGTGACAACACTAAGTACTACGAGATCCTCGGGGTGCCTAAAACGGCGTCTCCGGACGATTTGAAGAAGGCGTACAAGAAAGCTGCGATCAAGAATCATCCTGACAAGGGTGGAGATCCTGAGAAGGTAGTCTTAATTTTTTCGATCCAATATTTCAATGTTTTTATTTTCCTGCGAGCATTGGAGTCATATTAATGCTGAAAATTATGTGGATTTAGTAGCTAATGTAATTTTTCGAGTTAATTCATTTACTGGTAATGTTTCTCGAAGCGATTTCGTTGTATAATTAATTGTCAATATTGTGTAACATGCAGTTTTAATTGTGTGTTCTACTGTTGATTTTTCTTTAAATGATGGAGTAGCAATGAACAAGAATGCAAATATCAGTTTGAATTAGGAAAAAATTCTGGATTAATGTTGTTGGAGAATAAGGAGAAATGCAGCAAGATTCGAGATACTGTAGGAGAAAATAATTTTAAGTAGGAGTTGGGGAAATAATAATCAAAGACTACTTAGATTTTTTAAAAGAGAAGGTTTTGAATTGCACTGCTAGTTTAATAGGACTATATATTTTAAAACAAGTATAATGTATAGAAAATTAATATCTTTGACTGGACTGTTTCATGAAAAATGAAAACTTGAATTGTAATTCATGGGTATTGATTTATACGATGTATCTTTGTGCCATTTTGTTTCAAATTATAGTATGAGCTGTTTCAGTTTGCGACCTGATTTTGGGTGCTAAGTATCTACCTCTCTTCCATCCAAAAGTAGATTCAGGGTTTTACCTGATATATATTCTTTCGGCGGGCTCCACTTGCAATGTTTTCTCTTTACACCAAATAATTCTTAACCATCAGTTTTTTTGTATGTTCATTATCTACTTCATCAGTTTCAATAAAGCATGTAACTTTAAGTTATTTGTTTACCTTTAACTTGATATTTTGAAGTTACCTAGCAGTAAAGCTATAAAGATGATAGTCAATAAAGGTATTAGATGTTAGATGTTGTAAGAAACTGTAATAATACATTTCAATCCACCTTTTTTATCGAGTCAGTCCAGTTTGTTATAATACGATTTAAATGAGGTCTTTTACCAGCTTATTCAGATTGTGGAAATTCGAATAGAGCTCGTCCAATTCAGTTTAGTTAGAAAAAGTTCTTAGTGAAGTCCATTAGATTTCAGGTGTGTTCTTTTGTTGTTTCTGTATTGCATAAGTTTAGAAGTGCTCATCCAATTCCTTGACTGTTACAGTGTGAAATCAATAGTAGGGAAGCATCTATTGGGTCAACTAATTATCCCTTTCTAGTGCATGATTTTATCTTAGGGCTTCAAATCCTAATGAGTTGGGTTTATTCCAGTTTAAGGAGCTTGCTCATGCTTATGAGGTCTTGAGTGATCCGGAGAAACGTGAGATTTATGACCAGTATGGTGAAGATGCACTCAAGGAAGGAATGGGTGGCGGTGGGGGAATGCATGATCCATTTGACATCTTCTCTTCCTTCTTTGGTGGGGGTCCGTTTGGAGGTGGGACATTTTATACTGCTTTGTATTTTATATGTTTAGGAATATAAGAATGTGTTTTTATATTGTATTAGTTTTGATAGAATCACCTGGTAAGTAGAACATACCATGACGGAGGAATTCTTTTGATGATAACTAGGTGGTGGTAGCAGTAGAGGACGAAGGCAGAGAAGGGGAGAGGATGTTGTACATCCATTGAAGGCCTCTCTTGAAGATCTGTATGGTGGGACCATTAAGAAGCTCTCTTTATCACGAAATGTTCTTTGCTCAAAGTGTAATGGGTGAGTTTTTAGGTTCCTTGCTCTGCTATTGTAAGTGGTTAACGTGTATAGCTTATTTGTCTCGGTATATTTAATTTTTCTTTGATCATTGGTATCTGTGCATTTTATTGTTTGCAGAAAGGGATCAAAATCTGGAGCTTCAATGAAGTGCTCAGGTTGTCAAGGAACTGGTATGAAAGTTACTATTAGGCAGCTTGGTCCGGGTATGATCCAGCAAATGCAGCATGCTTGCAATGAATGCAAGGGATCCGGAGAGACTATTAATGATAGAGATCGATGCTCACTGTGCAAAGGTGAAAAAGTTGTTCAGGAAAAGAAAGTTTTGGAAGTTCACGTTGAGAAGGGTATGCAGAACTCACAGAAGATTACATTCCCTGGAGAAGCTGATGAAGCGGTGAGATGGCTAAATCCTGTGTTACATTTGTAGGATCGATACTGCCAAGTCTGTAAAAATTGTTGGGTGCTAAAGTGTATTTTATTTCTTTACAGCCTGACACTGTCACAGGAGACATAGTTTTCATCCTCCAGCAGAAAGAGCATCCTAAATTCAAGAGAAAGGGTGATGACCTCTTTGTGGAGCACACACTTTCGCTCACAGAAGCATTATGTGGATTTCAGTTCATCTTGTCCCACTTGGATGGCAGGCAACTACTTATCAAATCACAACCGGGAGAGGTTGTGAAGCCTGGTTAGCCATTTATTTCTAATATTTCTGGGTTCAATTAATAAAATTTTCAGTTCATATGGTGTCAACTTATATACTGGTCTGTGTGCATACAAATCATGCAGATTCTTTCAAAGCCATCAATGATGAAGGAATGCCAATGTACCAGAGGCCATTCATGAGAGGTAAACTTTACATTCATTTCACTGTGGACTTTCCGGATTCTTTAAGTCCAGATCAGGTGACGGCCCTGGTTGAAGTTCTGCCTCCAAAGCCTCTATCTCAACTCACAGACATGGAACTGGACGAATGTGAGGAGACTACATTGCACGATGTTAACATTGAGGAGGAGATGCGTAGGAAGCAGACTCAGCACCAGGAGGCATATGATGAGGATGATGATATGCATGGCGGAGCCCAGAGGGTACAATGTGCTCAGCAGTGATGAGTCTGCTACAAATAATTATGTTAGTAGGGTGTGTTTGATGTCCGTTCTGTTACTTGAGGAAATCCCCTAATTTTATAAACGATGAGACAAGTGATTCTATTCCTATGAAATATGATTTAGTTTGGGTACTTCCGGTCTTGTACTTCGTGCCATATGGCTTTTTGCTTAATATGATGATTTAGTTTTTGTACATCTGGTCTTGTACTTCATGCCATATGGCGTTTTGCTTAACTTGATGACCTTTGATGTTAGTTACAGTAATTAAGGCCAACTGATTAGTAATGGAAAGCATTATAAATAAAAATAAAATGTTCAATGAGTATAAGCTTTCTCTATAACTTTGTGCAAATCAGAAGCAAAACTTTACTAATATCGATGCTTATCTCGTACAATTCTCACCTTCTTCTGGAGATACCATAATATCTGAGAGGTGTATATTTTGGGTTTATCCAGGGATTTTATGCACAATCTTGCAACATTTAGAAGACTCTGAAGCTCTGCCTGATCGTAGTTGTTTCCAATATCTGGATCCATTATCTCATGTGTGGACCTTGAAATATAAGTTTTTTGAACCCATTGCACTAAATCGGCACCATTTCTTTCGGATGATTGCCCAGTAATCAGCTCGAGAATCAGCAAACCGAGTTGAAAGATTATGTTTTTGCACGTCTGCCCTGTACATTCTACAGCAGAAGAGCCTTAGAAACTGCAAAAAGATTTGAGGACACTTTTACAGAGTTAACTATAAATAATTACCTTTTATACAACTTGAAGAGTTAGGAAGTGTAACTTGATTCCCAGCAGAACGAATAAGGCTAATATCAGAAAGCTGTAGAGCGAAGGAGAATTGTTTTATTATCTGGTGAGAGTTTCAGAAGTAAGCTTCCACCAAAAGCACAATTCTCGAACTTTTGGTTGGATGCAATTGTAGGCAGAAAGCCACAAAGATCACTTCATACCTTTGGAGTTAAATTCTCATCTAACATTATGGTGCTTGAACTTATAGAGACATGGTACACTGGTGGATCACAGAAAAAGTGCAGATATTCCTGCATTATGGTACAATTAGATGTTTAATCCTGAATAGCAAGTTTATACACATGAATCATTTGAAATTTCAAGCACAACCAGAGTTTGGAGCTAGTTTATAGACATAACATCTGAAGTTTCCAGCACAAAAATAGTTCGGAGCATCTCGTGTAAGGTAGATAATCAAACGAGGCACTTTATGCAAGCAATGCCATCCCTTGCAATTTACGAGGTTTATAATCGAACCATTTCTGTAGGCGGTTCATTTTTTGTGATCCGGGAATTTGGGGCACTCACAGTCACCTATTAACTGTCACTGGTTTTGCTTTATAAGGCTATAACTCATTTTGTTGCATTGTCAACTGATACACATATTTCGTAAGTATATTACATGATTGGGGAATTTAGTAAGTATAAATTATATTGCAATTTTGACTTACCAATGCAGCAGCAATGCCAACGACTATTTGCAGTCTTGTTCTCCAATTCAAGGGAGTCTTCAGAGGATCTGCAAAGTGCCAAACATTTACAGAAAATATGACTGGGGAAGATGCTGAATAACTTGATTTGCAAATTACCAGATAGATGCTCCTTAAGGCTTCCTCTTTCCACATTTTCGAACACTAGGTACCTGAAAAATGATTAAAAACTCTTTCACACATTATAAAATGTTATGGCAACCAAATATGATGTAGTTTGAGAACTTCCACACAAGACAGTAACTTTTGGTGGTTTTTAGACAGGAATGTGCCTGGCTTTCTTCCTAGTGTTATGGCAACCAAATATTATGTGGTTTAAGAACTTCCACACAAGACAGTAACTTTTGGAGGTTTTTAGACAGGAATGTGCCTGGCTTTCTTCCTAGTGTTGGGCCGCTAAAGCATAGAATGTCAGTAAAGTAAATATAGCATAAATAAGGATATTCGAGCATCTCCAAGAGACTCTAAATAAAGAACCAAAATAGAAAGCATTGTTGTAGTGCATAAATAATATTACTCTCTAAATTTAACGATGCTCTTTATATTTAGAGTATCTTGAAGATGCTTTTAGGATGGATGTTGGTTACAAGAATGAATAAGAAGAGAAATAAGTATATGCACACAAGAAGTGGAAGGCCAAGAAGTAATGATAAATTAATGGGAGATATGTTTAGCATAGGCATAAAGAAAGTCCATTACCAAGAGCGATTAGGAAGAGTTAGACAAACATTAATGTGACTCAAGGTCGTCACAAAATTTATTGGCCCTTAAATTGAATGAAGTGGCAAACAGGGTTCATGTAGTTGATCTAAAATTTACTAGGTATAACTCTCAGCTTGTTATTTGAGACAAGACTGCACACAACCATGAGGGTAATTTAGGATTAGGATAATAGCACTTAAATATTTAGACATATTTGCAAATGACAAAGGAGACAAAACTTTCTGCCTGAGCAGATGACTAAGTTTGGTAATATACTCAACATGTATGCAGAGATTACTGCAATCAAATAGCTGGAGTAATGTTAGCATGCACAAGAAAACACATAATGCTTGTAAATAAAGTGGGAGGGGCTATTCAAGTACAAATTGACAGAGTCAATTAGGCCAACTTAACATAATTACACTACAGAATAAAAATCAGAAGTGAACTGATAATTACAGACAGAAGCTTATAGTTTTTAAGAATCTGAAAATGCTTGCCAAACAAACAATTTCAATGAAATCACTGTTTTTTTATTTTACCAAGTTCAACTCTATGAATTCCTTTTTTGTTAGGATTCAAAACTAAGGAGTGTAAATGATTTTTTTCTTTTAACACGGAAATCTTACACAATACC